TTAACGCCCTCGCGTGCAATTTAATACATGGCATAAATACTATCCGTTCATCGACTAATCAATGAGAAATATAGGACGGTACGTAGATATCGGTTATCACTTATCAGTTTTTCCAGCGAGAATCTTTTCCGAATCGTCGTAAAAATATCTTCCATCGAGGTCGTTTCTTTCGTGTTATTTACATTAAAACACGTTACGTAAAAAAAAAGAGAGAGAATAAAAATGAAACTTACCCAATTCAGGTCTAAATTTAAGGATTAAAAAACGACGGAAGGAATAAAACCCTGTTAACCGCTGAAAAAGATAGAAACAGAGAAAATGAATAAAGAGGAAAAGACAAAAAATCTTAATCAAAAAAAAAAAAAATATCTAAAAGAAGAAAAGAATCGAAAAATAAGAAAAATCGGAAGGAAGCAACCATAACCTGCCCCCCTCTCCCCCCTCCCCCCCTCCCTCCCCCGAAAACGACCGCACGATGGAACGAGAGCCTGAACAGCATTCGCACAGCTTTTCCTTTCCTTGGTATTCGAATTTCCCCTATATTTACATAATTTCGCTGGGAAGATGGCGATTATTATAGATTATTAGTAGAGGTTCGCAGTTTTCAAGGGCAACGGGTCCAACAGATACGGAGGTAGCGCGGCAGAGAAGGGCCTTGGGCTGCACGAGCCCCACGTCCCCCCACCACCGTTGCTTGCCCGCGTATTCGGCGAGTTTCCCTCCGCGGCCGCGTCGGCGCTCGTGTGCTTCACGCTGACCAGGTTCGGGTTGGGGATCGGTTTCACCTCGTTCGCGGACATGACGGTGTTCGAGCTGGCGGGCGGCGTCGCCGGACTTCTCGGGGAACGGCCCTCCGCCTTCACGTTGCCACCCACGGGGCTGGAGGCCCCGCTGTCCACGCCTATCCCGCTCTGCGACGTCGACTTCTGCTGGGCCAGCCTCTCCTGCTTCCGGAATTTCGCGCGCCGATTTTGAAACCACACCTGGAACCACATCATTTTCACCATTCTCTGTCACAAACAAATCGATACGTGCATAACGATAACGTTTAATAAATGGAGTGGAGTAATTAACGACGATTTGCGATAAGATTCCGTGCCACTTTTTAAACGAACGAATACGTACAATTAATAAACGTGAAAAGATTCCGTGCCACTTTTTAAACGAAACAGACGAATACGCACGATAACGTTATATAATAAACAGTGAATTACAGGACAATTTACAAAATGATTCCAAGATATAAATTATTCCGAGATGAATACTTTTCGTCTTATTCGTCTTTCATCATATATCCTTAAATTGGTTGAATTCCGATAGGCTGACCGATAGAATATTATTATCGAGAATCCGATGGAAAAGAGGAGAGAGAGAGAGAGAGAGAGAGAGAGAGAGAGAGAGAGAGAGAGAGAGAGAGAGAGAGAGAGAGAGAGAGAGAGAGAGAGAGAGAGAGAGAGAGAGAGAGAGAGAGAGAGAGAGAGAGA